TTACGGTTCTCGTTTATACATGTATTGTATACGATCGCTTTCAGTGAACGATCTCAAGTTGTATATGTTTACCAGGCCGATAAATACCAACAGTCATTAAATCTTCATAAATGGATATCTGATGATCAAGTTTCATGTGTATACCTATACCTCAATAGAGCTAATATAGAGCATATAGCTCGTGTAACGCCCCATTTTACCTCACAATACTTGGCATAAGATGACGTATCAAATCACACACAACATGTACTTCAAAGTCTCGTCAAAGTCTCGTCAAAATCTGACCCCTGATAACCTGTCATTGCGCTTCAGTGCATGCAGCATGGGGTCAATTAAAGCGTTAAATGGACCAGACGAAATCTAATTCAAAAACAGTTTTATGGCCTGTATATTTGTTTTAATCTTAATTAAAAAAAACGTATCAATATTTTTATTTAATGTGTAAGGTGATTCTTTTTATTATATCTTCTTTCTGAATAACGAAATGTATTCTTATCTTAAACTCAAAGGTGACCGAGCAAATTAAATTAAACTTGTCTCTCTCTCATAAATGCCTTACTGTACACACAAACTGAAGTGTACAGAGGAGGTTCTGTCATACAGTCGTTTAAAAGATCGATGTTAAACCAAAGTACCAACGAAAGTTTATTACAAACCAAAGTGTCCGGACTATCATGAAACGTATATCTGATCTTCCACTATACACAAAAGAGAACTATTCGGATTTGCCAGGTTTCACTATTAAAATAAACCAAAGCATCTGGACGAATAATGGTCATTGTGAACACCATTTTCAATGTTCGTATTAGTTTTGCATAACAATGTCTTGTGGCCGGACTATGAAGGTTCTGTTTTTAACAAACATAAAACATTTTTAGCCAGAGGAAAGTATGTTTTTCAATGTACATGTCCAGACTATCATGAGCATGGATGGAACAGGCTTGTCATTAACCTCATCTTTTTATTATCTCCCCTGTCTAATAATCTCCCTCATTAATTATCTCTCCTATCTAATAATCTCCCTCATTACTTATCTCCCCTGTCTGATAATCTCCCCCGTTGATTATCTACCCTATCTGATTATCTCCCCTGTTTGGTAATCTACCCCTTTGATTATGTCCCCTATCTGATAATCTCCCCCGTTGATTATCTCCCCTGTATGATAATCTCCCCCGTTGATTATCTCCCCTGTTTGATTATCCCCCGTTGATTATCTCCCCTGTTTTTGGTAATCTACCCCTTTGATTATCTCCCCTGTCTGATAATCTACCCCGTTGATTATTTCCCCTGTTCAACTGAATCTGATAAAACCTTCCTCATTTGTCCCTTTGTTTGATTACCTCCCTGTCGGATTATTTCCCCTGTCTATGTAATATTAGCTCCCCTTGTCTGATTAGTATTTGTGTTTAGGAGGCAAATTCGTCCTTCTATATTTGTTCTGTCTTTTTCATTCGAGTTGCATGGTTTTACCACCTGCAAGCGTAACATGGCCGTTTGTGTATCTTCTGTGTTCAACAATCAAAACACACACGAGGAAATACTAAAAATGTTAGGCATTATTTCATACTTCAAGCAGAACAGAAATCAATAACCCAAACGGGAAATTAATTACCGGACACACCATGAAAGCTTATTACGCTATTAATTGTCTATAAAATCACGAAAACTGTTATAATTCGACGTTCTATTATTGTACAGGGCAATACTAGGTATTTTTATTGGACTATTTGATGGACAATTGATTGTACTTGTTGAGGTAATAATCATTAGGTAGATCACACAGACACGGGAGCCGCGTGCACTTTAATGCAATACAAAGAAACGATTCTACAAAGTATCTTCCGCCTATAGTCTTTTCTATGTGCATGCTATATTCTATCACAGCACAGAGACCACACTCCACTGTTGACAGGTAGAGACAGTGAAATTGAATCACAATCGATACTTGAAACTGATCGATGCTTTGTATATCTTTTAAATTCCTACAAAATGACAAAATAGATGTTTGCATAATATTGATTCACGTGAAACTCTGAACAAATTATATAACACAAGAGTATGTTTCAAATTGATGTTATAGATGATATAGTCTAATTAAGAAAAAGGTTTATATTATGTACCTTGATACAATGACATATATCGCTGATAAAATCCTGGTCCAGGACTCAGGCGTTTGTCAAGGGTACCAAAATACATGTGTTGTAAAGTCTTTATCAGAGTTGTATTCAGTAGAACCTGTACAAACGTGTGCGCTGAAAGTCAAAAGTAGACATATATGAGGTAAACAAATTAGAAACAACACCAGGGGATCAAACATACAACTCTTTCATAGTGAGAACAGAATATTGTTCCCCCGTATCCGGCTGTTAAAGTGAAGAACATGTCGATAAATAGAGAGCAAGTTCAACATTATTCAAAGCTTCCATTTTATAAAGTAAATTTTAAATGAATCAAATTGTATTTATTTATTCTTGACATGACGTCATTTCATTATAAATCATTATGTCATGTATTTGTCTCACAATACCTAATGTTGAACGTTCGCCAAGGTGGGGAAGGTAATGGGTCCTGTTCCCAGGCCAGAACATACTTCTGAAATCCTCAAAAATCACAGTTGTTTTTCCAGCTTAACGTTCAGCATTTAGGGCTATCGCAACAACTGATAACCCCGTTGTCACTGTAATGTGGCCGAGCGGAATACTGCGCTGTGTGCTTTAGGCTCTGTATTTCAGAGAGGTACAGTATCACTTTAGGTCGGCATCAGATCCGCGCTATCACAATTAAGGAGGCAAGTACACCAACATATCGCCTCAAGCACACATGCACGTACGCATACATAACGCAAAAGGAGGGGCGTCCTTAAGTGATCTCAGATGTAAATATGATGTTAAACAAAATAAGGCCAAAACCAAGCATTATGACGTCAAAATTACAACAGCGGCACGTGGAATTCCGTGTAAGACGAGAGGAATCTTCCATTACAGTGTGACCATGCTGGGCAAATCATATCCCGAGGGTTTTTTCTTTACATGTTCTCTCTCAAACTGCCGAGGGTTTTGACAATTTAGGCATTCTGACCAGGACTATGACCAGGGCTTTGACCGGGGCTATGACCGGGGCTATGACCTGGGCTGTGACCCGGGCTATGACCGGGGCTATAACCAGGGCTATGACCGGGGCTATGACCGTGGGGGCTATGACCGGGGCTATGACCGGCGGGGCTATGACCGGGGCTATGACCTGGGCTGTGACCCGGGCTATGACCGGGGCTATAACCAGGGCTATGACCGGGGCTATGACCAAGGCTATGACCGGGGCGATGACCGGGGCTATGACCAGGGCTATGACCGGGGCTATGACCATGGCTATGACCGGGGCTATGACCGGGGCTATGACCGGGGGGGCTATGACCGGGGCTATGACCGGGGCTATAACCAGGGCTTTGACCGGGGCTATGACCGGGGCTATGACCGGGGCTATGACCGGGGCTATGACCGGGGCTTTGACCGGGGCTATGACAAGGGCTATGACCAGGGCTATGACCGGGGCTTTGACCGGGGCTATGACCGGGGCTATGACCGGGGCTTTGACCGGGGCTATGACAAGGGCTATGACCAGGGCTATGACCGGGGCTTTGACCGGGGCTATGACCGGGGCTATGACCGGGGCTTTGACCGGGGCTATGACAAGGGCTATGACCAGGGCTATGACCGGGGCTTTGACCGGGGCTATGACCGGGGCTATGACCGGGGCTTTGACCGGGGCTATGACAAGGGCTATGACCAGGGCTATGACCGGGGCTTTGACCGGGGCTATGACCGGGGCTATGACCGGGGCTTTGACCGGGGCTATGACAAGGGCTATGACCAGGGCTATGACCGGGGCTTTGACCGGGGCTATGACCGGGGCTATGACCGGGGCTTTGACCGGGGCTATGACCGGGGCTATGACCGGGGCTATGACCATGGCTATGACCGGGGCTATGACCGGGGCTATGACCAGGGCTATGACCGGGGCTATGACCATGGCTATGACCGGGGCTATGACCATGGCTATGACCGGGGCTATGACCGGGGCTATGACCGGGGCTATTACCGGGGCTATGACCGGGGCTATGACCGGGGCTCTGACCGGGGCTCTGACCGGGGCTATTACCGGGGCTTTGACCGGGGCTATGACCAGGGCTATGAGTAGACAAGCCCAACTCAATTAAACCTCTTCTGTATTTTGTAAGTATTTGTTCAGTTAAATTTTAGTTAAATTAACATATTGCTCAGCCTAACCTGTCTAATCCGATAACCTGTGAGACACACATATACTTTCAGAGTAACGAGAGACCGCCGTGTTCATTTTCGTTTCAACGAACGTAATGAATGATTCCGACAAGTGTGATAGCCTGCAGGTGCCTTTGTCGAAAGCCTGTGTCTAGGGTGTCGCTGTCGACAGACTGTCTAGGGTGTCGCTGTCAACAGACTGTGTCTAGGGTGTCGCTGTCGAAAGCCTGTGTCTAGGGTGTCGCTGTCGACAGACTGTGTCTAGGGTGTCGCTGTCGACAGACTGTGTCTAGGGTGTCGCTGTCGACAGACTGTGTCTAGGGTGTCGCTGTCGACAGACTGTGTCTAGGGTGTCGCTGTCGACAGACTGTGTCTAGGGTGTCGCTGTCGACAGACTGTGTCTAGGGTGTCGCTGTCGACAGACTGTGTCTAGGGTGTCGCTGTCGACAGACTGTGTCTAGGGTGTCGCTGTCGACAGACTGTGTCTAGGGTGTCGCTGTCGACAGACTGTGTCTAGGGTGTCGCTGTCGACAGACTGTGTCTAGGGTGTCGCTGTCGACAGACTGTGTCCTGTGGATCTGGGCACAGTATACTACAGGGTGTAGGTGTTCACCGTCTCGGTACGTACTCTCCGTCTGTAATCATAGATCTGAAACAAAATTGAAAATTTCCGAGAAGAATCATGAGTATAGAAAATGTGTTAACGAGATGATCAACAGAGACACCAGGCCGTTTGTGGTGTGGAGGAATCGTAAAAGTCTGTGAATGGAAAGATAATGGGAGATAAGTATTAATGTGCTGACAGTACAGTGGGATAACGTATTATTGGTTTACAGCAGATACAATGTGTACTGATATGTAAATAATTGGATAAGATGTTTTCTGAGGAGCATGTTGTTACGTGAGTAAGATTTTTCTCTGTTTTATGAGGAGTATATTAATTGTTGCGTGGTATAGGAGTTAGACTGTTCAACGTTTTCTTGGTCGGACTGTTGAACTGTACTATAAGATCTAAAACAGACGATATGTTTGGAGTACTGTCAGACCTAGGATGTTGGGACTCTGGGATAGTTCTGTCAGAGGAACCAGGGGTGGGATTATGGGATAGTTCTGTCAGAGGAACCAGGACGTTGGGACTCTGGGATAGTTCTGTCAGAGGAACCAGGGGTGGGATTATGGGATTGTTCTGTTAGAAAGAGTCATGATGTTGGGACTGTGGGCTTGTTCTGTCAGAGGAAACAGGATGTTGGGACTGTGGGCTTGTTCTGTCAGAGGAACCAGGATGTTGGGATTATGGGATTGTTCTGTCAGAGGAACCAGGATGTTGGGATTATGGGATTGTTCTGTTAGAGGGAGTCAGTATGTTGGGATTATGGGAGTGTTGTGTTAGAAGGAGTCAGTATGTTGGGATTATGGGATTGTTGTGTTAGAAGGAGTCAGTATGTTGGGATTATGGGATTGTTGTGTTAGA